TGTAGATGTATCAGCGGGAGGTAGGCATCCCATAGTCAGTGCCATCTGCATTTTGAACATCAGAGCCTTCTGTAATAGCCTCCATCTTCTGAAAAAATAGAAGCTTCTTTGAAGGGTGAGAGTTATACTTGTCTGTGGGTACAAAGATAAATATTTAGAATGCAGTTAGAGATAATACAAGTTTAGGAAAGTGGCTGTATCAGTTTCTCCTCGATCCAGGACATTCCTAGTGCCAGGTGGTCATCTGGGTTATGGTGTCAAGCACGATCTTCCTCTTATTGAGTGGTCCTTAAGTCCAGTTCAATAGCTGTTGGTTCCACCAAGATGTCAGCGCCACTACTGCACTGTCAGGGATCTCCTGCCGTGCTGGTCACTGTCGTGGTTCATAGGTGTCACAGCTGGGAAGGACGGTTGGTTGCTTTGCTCCCTTGGCAGCTTGTGTAGCACCTTCTGGTACTGTGTAAGCTCGTCCTCGGGGAGGAGACGTTCAGGTCAGACCCAGCTCAAGTCGTCCGAGTCCTGTGTCTGAAGTGCATGGTGTCTTCAGCAGTAGGGACTTAGCTTCAACTTCTCTGTATTGTCCTTTTTCCCAGTGAATGGATCTACAATGGATAAGAAGATTCTGTACCTTTCTAATTGGAGAGTAAGCATTTACATTTTGAATAAATTAGATTTTATACATTGTGGTTTGGATAGCATATGTAAGAAAGAAAGATTTTTCTACCTTCATATTTCAACACATTATTCCACCTTGGGACATTTGTTAAATCAATTAACCATTAATATATAGGTAAATTTGTGGCTAATTCTACTTCTTTGATGTGTATATCTGTAATTAAGCCAATATCTAGCTGCTGTCATGGTTTACTTTGTAGTAAAATGATATGCTCTTGAATGAGATTTGCAAGTATTTTGTTACAAATTTTTACCTCAAAGTTCATCAGGAAAACTGATCTGTAATCCCCCCCTGTGCTGTTTTGGGGGGCATCTGTCTACTTTTGATATCACGGCAGCGCTGACTTCATACAAAGTGTTTGGTGGTGTTTGCCCCTTTTCCGGTTTATGGAATAGTTTGAGAAAGCATTGGTGTAAGTTCTTAGAAGTTCTGGCAAAACTCACCGGGAACCCATCTGGGCTTAGCCTTTTCTAGCTGGGAGATTTGTAAGGTACTGCTTTGACCACAGCGCTTGTTAAATGCCTGTTTGCATTGTTTATCTCGTGTTAACTTAATTTGGGTGTGTCATGTGCATCTAGACATATGACCTTCACCCATCTCTTTAAGCTTTTCCAATTAGTAGAGTGAGTATGTGTTTTCAAGTAAAGCCTAATGACTTCTTGGATTTTATTGGTATCTATTGTAATTTCTCCCTTTACATGTCTAATTTTGTTTGGATCTTTTCTCTCTTTCTTCTGGTTAGTTTCTTTTGGTACATCAATTACGTTTCTTTTTTCAAAGAATCAACTCTTTGTTTCATTGACTCCTTTGTAGTTTTTGTTTGTTTGTTTGTGTCCACTTTATTAATTTTTGCCCGGATCTTAATGATTCCTTTCCATCTACTGATTTGGGATTTGGCTTGTTCTTTTTTTTTTCTTCAGAGTTCTAAGGTATGTTATTATTTATTTGCAAGCTCTCTGATTTCTTAACGTAGATATTTAAGCTATAAACTTCCCTCTTGGGAAAGCTTTTGTTGCATCCCATAGGTTTTGGTACGTTGTGTTTTCATTTTCATTTGATTTAATAATTTTTTATTTCCTTTTTGATTTCTTCAAGGGCCCATTCCTCATTCAACAGGGTATTTCTTACCCTCCACGAGTCTGTGGGTGCTCTGGGCTTTCTCTTGCTATGGATTTATAGTCTGTTCCATTGTGATCAGATGGGATGCAGGGGATTATTGCAACTCACCTGCATTTGGTGAGCCTCGCTTTGAGTCTTACTGTATTGTCTATTTCTTTTTTTTTAAATTTTTTATTTGTTTAGACTTTTTTTATTTTACAATACTATTCAGTTCTACATAATAGCCACAGATTCCCTTGTTCTCTCCCTTCCTGCCCCCCTCCCCTTCCCCCCAGCACACCCCCGATTCCCACCTCCTCCAGATCAGGGTCTCCCCCGAGGACTGGGATCGACCTGATAGAAGACACTTTATGCTGGAGAGGATGTGGAACTAGGGGAACTCTCCTCCACTACTGGTGGGAATGCAAGCTTGTACAACCACTTTGGAAATCAATATGGCGCTTTCTTAGAAAATTGGGAATCAATCTCCCCCAAGATCCAGCTATACCACTCCTGGGCATATACCCAAGAAATGCTCAATCATACCACAAGAGCACTTGCTCAGCTATGTTCATATCCGCATTGTTTGTAATAGCTAAAACCTGGAAACAACCCAGATGCCCTTCAACTGAAGAATGGATAAATAAATTGTGGCACATATACACAATGGAATACTACTCAGCAGAGAAAAACAATGACATCATGAGGTTTGCA